ATGCACTCACCTGAAAGGTGGTGAGTCGGCACTTGACAACACTTCGTTACTCTTAAAACAATTATCCCTTGACGAAACCTAGTATCATTACCACTAGAGTTTAGTCTAACACTTGACGAAACTAATTTAATAGTCTGGCTATTATTACTATTATGTAAGTGTTAAATAACACTCAATATAACTCATAATAATAACCCAAATTATTATTTTAAGGTCCTAATAATGTTACTATAATTAAATAAAGTTTATATTAAATATAGTATAGGTGTAGCTCAATTACAGCAGGTTTTTATTAAAAACGGGGCTTCGCTGGAGCAGTGTTTCCGAGCCGAAAGCCTTTCTTCTCAGAGTCGTCAGGCGCTCCGGGGCTTTCTTCTCATGATAGGGAGGTTCCCTAGACTTGAGAGGGGTTTAGGGAGGTTAGAGAGAAGTTAGAGAGAGAAAGAAAGGTTTGAAGGTCTGAGGAAATTATGAAGAGTTCATCTCTTATTTATAGGAATTGTATAATAAAGTAGTCTCCTAGCTTCATCCGTAACTTTTGCATACGAGCTCCATTTTTTTCTGTCTTTTTACCATTGAGTTCCTATTAATGAGATCTTCAACTTTCATTTAGACCTCGTTGGCTAATTCTCATTCTATCCCAGATTTAGAAAATTGTATCGAATTTGCTGCGCTTGAAAAGTAGAGACTAAGCTTCGTCCATAACTTTCACATATGAGCTCCATTTTTGTCTGTCTTTTTACCATTGAGTTCCTATTAATGAAAATTTCAACTCTCATTTAGACCTTGTTGGCTAATTCTCATTCTATCTCGGATTTACAAAACTGTATCGAATTCGCCGAGCTCGAAAAGTGGGGACTAAGCTTCATCCATAACTTTTGCATACGTGCTCTATTATCGACGTCATTTATATCTACGCATTGGTATTTACGAGTACTACAACTTTCATTTAGATCCCGTTGGCTAATTCTCACTCTATCTCAGATTTACAAAACTGTATCGAATTTGCAACGCTCGAAGAGTAGGGACTAAGCTTCGTCCATATCTTTCTCACACAAGCTCCGTTTTCGACTGTGTTTTTATCATTTAACTCCTATTAATGATATCTTCATTTATCGTTTAGATTATTTTGGCTAAAAATCGACCGATCTAAAATTCAGATTTCGGGCTGTGCACTACTATGCTAAATCTTAGAAAAATCATAACTTCCTCATACAAAGTCAAATTTGGATGTTCTTTTTATGCACACTATCGGTTTAACATATACTATGACTTTCATTTAGATTTCTAAGGCTAAATCTCGCTCTATCATAAATTCACTATTTACGCCTCCCGGTATCGTGTCGGTTCCGTCGCGAAACTTCGACGAGTCATAACTTCTTTGTTATAACTCGGATTTAGACGCTCATTATATGTACGGAAACCTTGTAACATATACTAAAACTTGGTTGGGATTATTTATTCTTAATAATGTTTTGTTAAAAAGTCGTTTTCGACCCCTATTCCCTCTAAATTAACTAGCCCGGATCTACGGTCCTTACAAATTGGACTTAGTCAAAGTACTTAGTTGGATAAAGTGCTGAAGAATTTTAGCATGGAGTATTCCAAGAAAGGAGGATTACATATCCAGAGAAATTCCAAACTGAGTAAAACTCAAAGTCCGAGTACCGATGCCAGATAGCAGAAATGTGTCGGATTCCATATACTTCCGCTGTTGGATCGATCATGTATGCTATGACATGTACTCGCCCTGATGTGAGTTTTGCTTTATGCATGGTTAGTCGATATCAGGGAAACCCGGGTAAAGCTCACTGGATAGCAATTAAGAACATTCTTAAGTATCTGCGAAGGGCAAAGGACTAGGTCCTTGTACTTGGTGGTAGTGATGACTTGAGAGTTGCTGGTTGTAGTGATGCTAGTTTTCAGACAGACCGAGACAACTTCTGTTCTCAGTCAGGTTAGGTGTTTACACTCAGTAAAGGAGCAGTGACTTGGAAAAGTTCCAAGCAGGAGACTGTGGCTGATTCAACATGTGATTCAGATTATATAGCTGCAATCGAAGCATCAAAGGAGGCTATATGGTTGAAGAACTTCATTGGAGACATTGGAGTTGTGTCAGCCATAAAGCAGATGGTGGAAATTTTCTACAATAATGAAGGAGCGGTTTCCTTAACCAAGGAACTAAGGGATCATGATAGATCCAGACATATCGATAGAAAAAATCATTTCATTAGACATCGGGTAGAAGAATTACTCCTCATCGTCAAGAGGGTATCGTCAGAAGAGAATCTTGAAGATCCCCTCACAAAGGGTCTGAGTAGGATTAAGCATATTAAGCATGCGAAGTGCATTGGTCTGAAGGACGATATTCGTTCTAGTGATTAGATAGACTTTTAGAAACTTGTATAAACATAAATGTAATTGACATTTGATGATTAATTAATGGAGATTTATTGACAAGTAATTGTTTACTACTTGTTAATTGTTTATTTGTGTTTCACTTTTGAATGTTTTACTTCCCGAATAATTGGATTGTTCGAATTATCCACAGTCGATCACACTTTGGAAGTAATTAATGAATGAAGACTATCATGAATTGGCTTCTAGATTGTCTAAGTGTTTAGATATAGAAATGGGTTACTGCAACGTTCATGAGTACACCCGAAATAGGGATTTGATTATTTGATTAAACCCATGCTCATTTGAATTAATTCATGGAACTTGTCATGAGTAATAGTGAGACGATAATAGCCTAATAATATTTAAACTGAGATATATGATTCATTGTTTACAAGTTGGTTATGCATTGATAATGCGTAAACACATCAGTAACTTGATGTTATAAAACACGTTGTTGTGTATGATTGATGAGAAATAGTACAAACATATAAGTCAAAGTTTATCTGTTCCTTTTATTTTAAGTGGTAAAAGAGATATCTTCGGCCCCTCAATGATTTTGTGTTGACTTATGTGTTGGGCCCGATCAAGACTGAATTAATGTGTTCAATTAAATTCCTTGTCATACAAATCAAGAATTGGGAAACAAACTGTTGGACAATGAGAATGATTATATTCTATGTCTTTGTCCACATGATATCTTGCAGAACGGAGGATTATAAGATCCCTTATCTTAAGGAGACGCAACTTACTAGGTCAGAGTTCAACAACGGATTTTGAGAGGTACGATTGTTGATCAGATTCTAAATTCGTACTTGCAGTTTTAGTTATTAAACATAGCCAAGTTGGAGACTATTGGATTATGTATCTAAGCCCATAAGTATAATTGCTATGAACTTGATTTGATAGTAGCATGCCTTTTGGGTTGTCTTCACTTTAGCAACTTGATAGGATGATTTAAGAAGGAAGGGGTTAATAAATGATTTCTTGATATATTAGGAGAATAATATATTAATTAGAAATCATATTACGAGCAACATGAGCATCATGTTGCTCCATTCACTTTTAATATGTCAACAAATTCCAGAAGTGTCATTGACCAAGTTGAGTTGTTTCTTGAATGTTGGAATGTGTCTTCAACTCAAAGATGTACCACCCCGTGTTCATAATGAACCATGGACGAGCTGTATATGCAACTGAGTATTTAAACATGCCATCATTGTACATGATGTGCCATGTGCAATCTTGTTGAGCCATCAATGTGATCATGTTGTTCCATTGACTTGAGATAAGCCACCAAGTATTCATGTTAATCCATCAACGTCTTATTGAACCATAGAGTTGTGGATTAGCCAACAATGTTTTTGATGACCCATCAATATTCTAGATGATCTAACTGTTGGATTATGTGTCTAAGCCCATAACAATAAATGGTATGAACTTGATTTGATAGTAGCATGGTCCTTTTGGGGTGCCTTCACATTAGCAACTTGACACGATGATTTATGGAAAAAGAGGTTAATAAATGATTTATTAATATATTATGAGAATAATATATTAATTAGAAATCATATTATTTAATTAGTATTTGATCATAAATTAATTTGGAATTAATTTTGTGATTAAAGGAACTAACTAAAAGAACGGCGACATTAGTTATTTAAAGAGAGTTTTCATAAAAAATGCTTATAACATAGAAATCCTAGCCAATTTTTTGCATATTCCATCCTCTCTCCTCTTATCCTCTCGCTACAAGTGTTTGTGAGCCATTCGAGGAGCAACATTTAGGGTACTAAGCTTTCGAGAGTCAAGATCAAGAAAGGAATTCTCGTTATAGCTATATAACAAGCAAGGTAATCTTCTTAACCCTTTTAATATATGAATTTCAAATTATATGTGCTAGATCTATGGTTATTGCTTTGAAATTTCTTTGCATGTTCAATTAGTGAAAAACTTTGATCCAAAGAAATTAGGGTTACATGAACACATAGGATGTTTGTATGCATAAAACCCATCACCACCAATATCTTGATGTTCTGCATATGATTTAGATGTTCCATCTGAGATCATCATGGTTCAAGTTGCATTTAGCAAGTGCTCCATGTCAACAATAAGTGCTTCATATAAGCTACAAGTGCTCCAAGATCTGATTATTCAAACACTCTTTGAATCTTTAGTATCTTTCCAACCTGAAACATTCTGATAATGTTTGTTAGATAGATATAGATATAGACTCAACTTATTTCAAGTGACAATCACTTCAAAACATTTCCAGCATTCTCCATTTATGTGATGGTTACTGAAATAAGGAGTAAAAAATAAAGGTAAAAACATGCACGGTGAAATTTACAAAAAGATGAATTACTAGCAGCAAAAACAAAAAAACGTCCACATGTTTTATTTAAAAAACAAAAACACACAACCTAAACTTTGTTTCTCAAGTTTAATTATCAATATCAAGAACTTAAAAACCATGTAAGTCCTTGAGTGATCTTCACTCTCAGTGAATTATGTTGAACTTCTGTTCTCTTCAATAAAGCAATGATGCCTTGAATGAATTTAGAAGAGAATAGATGTTTTTTAGTGATTCTCATAAATCTCATTCAACCTTTAGAAGAGAATACAACTCCTTTATGTGGTTTCTTCAGTATGTTCCCAGGTGACTCATTTTCCATATTTAGATCCAAATCTGGCTCGTCAGCTTCATTTTCTCCTACCTGTCCAATTTCCCAATCAACAATGAAATCAATAACCATGTCGAGCACATATTGCCTTAGGGGCTGTAGGGAATCTGCATAAGTTTCATTGGTACTCCCCCTATGCTTCAACGAAATGATCAATCATCTGATATCAGCTTGATTTATTCAAGGGAAATAAGCCTCAAAAACATGAATTTAGAGGTGTGTGTCCCTTTTCCTTGAAATAATACATATAACATCTTTCTAAAATCTCGTCTGTCAATTTTGCTAATTGAAGCAATCTTGAACTTTGACTATACAAAGACAACTTGAATTGGTTTCTTCAAGAAGAATATTTTCTTCAACTTTTCAATGACTATATCAGGCTTAACTAGATATATTGAACTTGGCCATAAATTCAACTTTGTACCATCAGGGGGTTCAGCAATATCCTAGTTTTCTTTAGAGGTATCTGAAAGAGGTGCAAAGGAGTTTGTGCGCTTGATAACCTTGATCTTTTGATAAGAATCTTCATTAGGATTGAAGAAGATGGCTCTCTTAGGAGATGGTGCTCAAAATTTTTCATCATGCAATGTACTTCTTTCTTCAGGCGAGATCTCTGAAGATTTCTTTTTGATAACCGCCTCTTGCTTAGACTTTAACTCCTTATCCATAAGTTGCTTTGCTAACTCTTCATATGTTTCCATTTGAGCTTCTTTAGCTAACTCATTCTTTGTCTTGAAGATAACCTTTTTTTCCTCTATCCTTAGGATCAATTTGGGGAAGCTTCGGTTGAACAATTGGTTGTGTAATGGTAACAAGTTTGGTGATGTAAATGTATTTCTTATTGGAACTTTTAGAGTTGGATCCTTGATCCCTTGCATAGGAATGAGTTCCTTTTCTGTTTATGCCATCTTTGCTTTGTTTTGTTGAGATTTTAATCTTACGACAACAACCATTTTTTCATCAACCTTGGGTGTGAACTTACCTAGTTTTGTTCTTGATGTAGAAACGGCATCCAAAGATGTGAAATAATTTTATGTTGGGCATTCCATTGTTCATTTCTTCATAAGGAGTGACTTCAAGCCTAATGTTGACTAGGGATCTATTTTAAGGGAAACTAGCAGGTGCAGTGGCTTTTGCCTAGAAAAGTTGTGGAGTGTAGGGTGAAGAAAAGTCGTGCTCAATGCCTTTGGATAAAATAAAGTTATCTGAGGCGTTATTCTTGAATTCACCACCATTGTCACTTTTTATCCTTCTTAGTGGGTTGCCTACCCTAACTTCTATATAGCAAATGAAGTTAATTAGCTCATTGGTGGTTTCAGATTTGTTTCAAAAAAAGTACACCCTAGTGAATTTGGTGTGGTCATGAGCAATCACGTGAATGTATTTCTTACCACTTTAACTAGGAACTGTAGTGGGACCACACAAATCGATATGTATAAGCTGAAGAGGTTCAGATAAACTGTTCTGTTTTATAATTTTGTGAGGAGATTTTGAAATTTTGCATTGTTCAAATGAAGAATAAAGTATATCATTGTCAAGTTTTAATAATGGTCGTCCTCTCACAAGATCCTTTCACATGAGTTTTTTGATATAACCAAAGTTGAAGTGAGAGAGTGTTCTATGCCACAACTGTCTGAAATAGCTTTAGAAAGAAGACAAATATCAGGGGTTCCATTAATTAGTTCAATATCAAGAGGATACATGTTCCCATTTCATGGGGAATCAACAAGGATGCACTTGTTGGTATACATAATCATACTCTTGGTTTTAGTGAACAAAGCCTCATGATCATTGTCACATAGTTGTGAAAAACTAATAAGGTTATGTTTAAGAACATCTACATATGCTACACGTCTAATGGTAAAGTTCTTGTTCGATATGTTTCCATCTCCTATAACTTCTCCCTTCATGTTGTTTCCGAAAGTAACACACTGACATGGCGTAGTGATTTTGAAATCTCTAAGATAAAATTTGTGCCTAGTCATGTGCCTAGAGCATCCAATGTCAATGTGCCATGTATCATATTGTGGTACCTTGGCATAAAAAGGATGCATTTAGAGAGAAGTTTTAGGTACCCATGTTTGTTTGGGTCCATGCGTGTTAGCTTTCTTCAGACTTGTTGGAGTTGGGATAGTCTTTTCTTGTTTATCATTAACCTTTTTCGGTTTTGCTTGTTTTCTAGAGACCTACTTTTTGGCTTTCTTAGTGCTATTCTTTTAATGTTTGATATAATAGAAAGATAGTGGATGGTGAACTGAGTAGGAATTCCTAGAGAAGGAAATCCATTGTTCATAGGCATTCCGAAATGATCAAACATGGGAAAATAGGTATTTTCTCCGAACTAATTGATCATTGGAAACCAAGAGTTTCCCCCAAATATGTGGTTCCCTCCTATGGATGGATTAAAACCACAATATGGACCAAGAATAGAATTAATAGGGTAATTACTATTCTGATACATGAATGGGTTGGTTGGAATAGATCTTGATCTCATTATTTCAGACAAATCAAGAAGATTGTTAGGTCTTAAACTATTTTGATAGTGAATTCCAGTTTGGTTTGGAAATCCAGAATTTAAGAAACCATTATTTCAAGTAGAGGTTCTTTGAGTTGTATAATTTTTTGGAGGACTGGTGTGTCTGGTCTTCCCTTAGCTAGACTTGGCCTTTGGTACTCTCTTGATCTTTCTTTCCATGTTATTATTTGTGGTCTTAACTACTTTCGGTTTTGAAGGAAGGACTACAGTTGGACGTTGTTCTCTAGAAACATTAACTTTCTCTTTTCCTTTATCTTAATTATTTTGTTTTAAAGTTGTCTCTTGTTGCTTGGGACTGGGTGAAGTGATTTTTATTGGAACGAAAGGTCTCTTGAGTATTTGAAAAATAATTTTGTAATCACTCACAGTATTCAAGGTTTCACCCTTGTTGACTTGACCTGGTGATTTCCCAGTCTATTGTTTCTTAGAATATTTTCATCCTAACTCCTTTGTTCCAGAGACTGAAGCATTAATAGATGCAAATGTTTCTTGGTTGATGAGTTCAATGTGTTCAGCCTTAGAATATGCTACCAACTCATATGATTTAGGATGTAACCATTTACTTTTGAACAAAAGATATTTAATTTTCCAAAGGTGGCATCTTCTGAATTGAAACTTTCCATTGTGGGACATTCCAGAGAATATTCAAATAGAGAGTTATACTTAGTGTTCAAGTCTGGAAGATCATGGGATGATGTGATTTCCAATGGGATATGAGAGATTGTACTAGTAATTGCATCGGGACTGCAAGTTACCACCTCTTCTTGATCCTCATTGTCTCTAGTGAGGAGACTTGGATCATACGAAAACAACTCTGGTTGAGTATTATGACTCATGATCTGTTTGTTCATTTCATCATAACTAAGATCATATTTGATATATGATGTTTTTGGTCCAAAGAGAATGGCATGTGAGTTTTCTGTAAGAAGGGTTTTCAATGCTTTATAACTATTGATTTTTTAGGTTAGTTGGGTGTACATCTCACGATTATCTTTTGTAATGATGTCACGTTGATTCAATACAATTTCATATTTTTCAATTGAAGTAAGATGTGCATCAGTTTTGATTACAATGTAATTCTCTAACCTAGCTGTACTACATCTTAATTCCTCAAATCTGAACTGAGTGGCTGTCAGTTTGTCTTTGTAGTAAATTACATGATATTCAGCATTGGTGACATATTCTTTCATTATTTCAGAAATATGGTCCATGTTGTCAAGAAAAGGATCAATAGTTAAATTATTATCACGAAGCATAAAGTGTACCTTCTCAACAAGTTGTTGATGAAGAGGAAAAAGGTCTTTGTCATCATCACCGATGAAGCAGAAGTAGTTCTTGTAAGCTTCTATTTCTTCAGCTTTATCCATTTCGTAATCTGTTTCCCAGACTTCCATACTTCAAGTTTCCATGACCATGAAAGCTTTGTCCTTTGATTTCTTTTTGCGATCTTCAAATTTATGAAGGAAATATGCTTCACATTTGACCTTCTTGTTCTTCACTTTGCAATCCTTGGCAAAATGATTTTCACCTTGATAGTTGTGGCACCTAATTACTTCATTATCATCGTAGGATTTTGACTTGTTATCTTGAACCCTTGTATTCGTCCTCTGAGATTTGTAACTTTCAGAATTTGAATTCTGAGAGTTGAAGCTTTGTTGACTGTTGGTTCCTCCTTGGAAGTTTCCAAATTTCTGATGATAGTGTTGGGGTTGCTGATAACTTTATGCTCTGAAGTTCCCAGTTGGCTTGTTCCAAACTTCTTGAAGTTTGTATTGAACTTGGGCAGGAGTGCCAAGAATTCATCATACATATTTTCCTCATTGATTTAAAGAGATTCTATTTTGGTTCCAATGAAAGCTTGGTGATTTTCCATGTACCCATTCGCTATTTGAAGAGGTCGTTGAGTTGGCATGTAGGGATTCTGATTATAAAAACAGTGAAACTAGACTTGAAGATTTCAATTTTTCAAAATACTGAAAGAGAGTTTCATAATTGTCATGTGGCAAGTAATGCGGAAAGTAAATAGTTATGAATCAACCAAGTTAATAACAAAACATTTTTTATGTTCAAGATCAATGATTCAAAAGTGGCTCTTATTCATAAACATTCATTTACAGGTGGCTCTCTAAAAACCAGTCTAAGCAGCAAAATGCACAGGATGATCAGTATTGAGCAACTTTATACTGGATCCCAAGGCGCCTATTTCTAGGCTTTGGATGTAACGCTTGGTTTAAATATTGGTCAGTTTTCAACATATTTTAGAGTTTTGGGGTGGTACTCGATGAGTTGGGGAGCTCCAACTTGTCGAGTAGAGATCATATTGGACGCAGGATGAAGGACCTACTTGACAAGTTGGAAGGTACCAACTCGACGAGTAGGAGCTGGAAAGGGAAACCTTAATTTTCAGGGTTTGTACCCTATTTAAAGCCCTTAAACCTCACTTGTAGCCACCCATGTCACCCTCCTTGTCCACAGAAACCCTAAATCATGTCTTATCTCCCATTTTGTTTGTATGTGTGCTTGGAAACTGATTCTTGGTGCTTTTTTTGGAAGGAACTTGAAGAATGAAAATGTTGGATTAAGTGGAAGGCATTAGATCTGGGTTTTCCTCTAGTGTGGAAACCATTTTAAGGTATAAAGTTGGAACCTTGACCTTCCATTGCTTAGATTTTCTTCTATGAAAGTTTATGGTTATTATTAGCCTAGTTTGGTACCATTCTTGGTTTTGAGCAGGATATGAAGATATGGATTTAGATCTGGACATCTTAGTGCCTTTAGGGACTTAAAGTTGCCAACTTTATCAAGTCATGGACCTCATTCATGCTCTAAGTCCCTTGAAAAGCTTTGGTTAAGTGTTTCTATCCTTTGATGCCTTGTACGCATGTAAAGTTTGCAACTTTATATGGTAACTACACCATAAGGGGTTAGATATGTGATTTGGAGCCTTGGATTCCACTGGAAAGGACTAAACACAAAAAGGACTAAAGGGACTCAACGAGTTGCTTAGCCAACTCGATGAGTCGGGTAGGATTTTCCCGTTTTCGAGATTCTGAATGATTTCGGTGAGCAGATTTCAGTCAAGAAATTTCGGTTTAGAGTTTTCGACCCTTAGACATTAAGGAACTCGACAAGTTGATGAAATATGAAGGAACTCGATGAGTTTCTAGATGCACTCGATGATTTGGGTCAACATGGACTGTTGACATTGATTGTTGGCTTTGACTTTAACCTTGACTTTGGGAAAATTAGTTCCAAGGGGTGCTCGGAGTAAACCAAATTATAATGAAGGAGATTATGGGATTAGAGTAAGGTCGTCTGCAGTTGGGGCCTAATTTAGAAATT